TCCCTAATCGTATATGTCAATTCCCACTTCCTATGAGTGCCAAGCATATTCACACCATGCTTTTGACATAGGGGCACTTCAAACGACGCCTACAGGGCCCCCTTAAATTTTTAGCCAAAAATTTTTATCCACCAAAATTTACAAAGAAGCCCAAAAGTAATACAGACTGATCATAATTCATTTTTACGTACTTACGTTAGCTAAAGCTCAAGCTCCAAAGTAGTACATACTTTTGTTTATGGTTATTCAATATTTTGTGCACATTTTCCAATATAGTGATACACATGTGGTTTGATGACCATTTATACTACTTGCAAATCTTTTTATATTATTTTTTTATGTCTATTTTCATTTCTTTTAATCTTTATGGCATTTTTTTTAGAGTTTTTACTACCGTTTAAAGTAATACGAGTACTTTGTTATTGTTATTTATTCGTGCAGTGAGTTAAAAATGTACTTATATAGTTTAATATACGTAGTATTAAAGTAGTAGATATATTACGAAATACCTTTAAATTAAAGAATTATTATGATATGAAATTAGTCTTTAAATAAACAATATTAGTTGTGAAAGTTTTAATACGAATCATTTTTTTTAATACTACCTCCGTTTCGTATTATTTGCAACGATTTATGTCAAATCGTTGCAAATAATATGAAACGGATGTAGTATACATTATGGGCTCTATGACAAGGCTTATGATTTCATGCATTGAATATTTAATTTGGCCCCCGGAATTTTTTTTATCAAGATCCGCCACTTCTCTCTGTTATAATCTTTTGGAATATTTCTTTCTTCGTTTAGATGTTAAAGGATTATGCTAAATGAATATACAATTGCGGCAATTTTTAACGAAAAAAAAAATTAAAAATGATACAGAAGATCTGAATTGGAATAACAATTTTGATGACGTATCTATCTATTAACCTATACATTTTTGAATATTTTTTACATAATTTATGTAGTTATTTGTAATATTATTGTCAATAATATTTAACAACAATGCATTGCACAAGATTTTAACCTAGTATTATACTATAAGCTTTGCCCCATAAAAGCAAAATGAGGATGATAGGAATCGAATGAACCCTGTAATATTATCAAGAAATTGCGAGTTGCGGCATTCACAAGAGTTCGAATAATTGCAGACGAAATAGTATAAAGAACATTTTTTTAATCAATTGTTTTTTATTTTTAAAAAAGTCATCTTTCATCCTCAATCAATGGTTTGAATTAGTTAAAAAAAAAAGGAAAAATTGACAAGAATAATCCCAAATTTTCCTCATTCGCTCAAAATAATCCAAATAATCCCTACTTTGGATAATTTTTTAATAATCCAAAATTTGATATGAATTTGCTTTCATTGGTTCCAAGTGACCGGTAACTTGTTGAAAGGTTAATTATTTTTCTTCAATGTAATTTACACATGTAATCACATGATTGGTCAAAAAATTATTAGTACAAATTAATAATTTGCTAATTATTTTTAAACCTAACTATTTTACAATAATTAAAAATAAATTATTTTAAAATAATTTTAAGAAAACCACCATTAGGTTCCCCGCCCTCCATCGGCACCTGCCCCAACCCAACCTGCCCCAGCCCAGTGCCGCCTTAACTCCTTTCGCCGGCGTCTGCTGTCACCGCTGTGACACTTTACTGCAACCCTAACCTCTCCCTTTTCCGCAAGCAACAATTTTCTCTAGAATAATTTCAAGCTGTAAGGATATTTGTGAGCTATCTAACTATGAAAATACCAGTCAAATCATATAATCTTTTTATCAAATTGTCAGCCAAATTTCCGAGAGGGTTGAGTCGTGACTTTTATTACGATTAGGGACAAGGAAAGTAGGGAGCCGGGGATTCGGGGGTGGGGGGTTCTTTGGTTGATGGAGAACTGGCGAAGTGGATTCGAGGAAGGGGATCGATAGGGGTGTCGGGACAGGGGGAAGGGAAAAGAGGTGGTATCGTTGGAGTGAGAATGTGGTCTGGATGATGTAGGTATCGTTTGAAGTGCGCCTACGTTAAAGCATGTGTGAATATGCTCGGCACTCATAGGTAGTGGGAATTGACATAATACGATTAGGGACAAGGAAAGTAGGGAGCCGCCAACAAGTTTTTAAGGAACTTGTAAACCGTTTACGGATCATAAAAGGAAACCATGAATAAAGGGACAACGAGATGCAACAATGATTAACCCGTGAAGGTTACACCCCATTCATAATTCATGAGATTACTAACTTCGTATGGTTCGGAACCACGAAAGGAGGATCGAGTATGATGGTACGAAGTGAGTCATGGAGTAACATTCAACGGTATTGGCCTCTACTAGATTCTTATAGTGAAAAGTGATTCCTGCGATCTCAAAGGCATGGAAAAAAAGATTCAATTCGCTCCAAACTAATATTAGGCTAAATTGTTTGAATATTAATGCAACATATAATTCTTAAAATATTGTGATCACTTGAATTATCAACAAGATTAAAAAGGAACCTAAGCTGGCCGTCCAAATTATCTTATTAGGCGTGATTTTCAATTACATATTCCCTTTAACCATTCAATATGGTGATCATTAAATATAATAGAATCAAAATTAATATTGGAAGCAATTTAACCATAATATCATTAGTCAAATAAAATAATAATAATAACGCTAATCATGATACTAGCAATAAAGAATAAAAAAAGAGTAATTAAGTGATTAATTACTCACTTTCTGCGTTTCCTTGAATTGCTATATCATAAATAAATTGTTAGTAACTTCAATAAATAATAAATCAAATGAAAACTAAATTAATATAGAGTTGAGTTGATTTGGTCAAAACCCACAGTTAATTATACCTTTCACTCTTGGTTTAAGTATAGAACTTTGGCCATTATATGAACTCTTTGGAGTGCTTAAGGAAGAAATAATGTAGTTAGGAATATATGTTTAAGGCTTAGAATATGAGAGAGAGAGAAGAGAATGATTTTTTGTGTAGAAGAGAGAAAGAGGGAAGGATTTGGTGATCAAGCTTGTTTTTTTTTTTTTTTTTTTTTTTTTTTTTTTTTTTTTTTTTTCTTTTTGACAACCAGCAACTAAAGAGAACTACAAATTAGTAAAACTAGATAGAGAGACCCGACATTAATTAGCCAGCAAATGAGCTTGGTTCACCTGTTCCCGCCCCACTTTCCAAATAACACAAGTTTAGAATAAGGCTCCCATCCTTCTAATTTCCTGTAATAGCCAGAAGGATGAAACCTCTATCCTTTCTGTTTTGTTAAACAGATGAATAATAATAGCCGAGTTTGTGTAGACTGTTATCCTTTCATACCCTTACTCCTTTTCCCATCGGATGCCACCCAACACGCCAAAAGTTCTGTATGCAAAGCAGAGCTTGTTCTGGTAAAGTTCCCTCCATCATCGGCATAAGTTATCTCATCAGTAGTGGTAACCAAAGCCATACCTGCATTCCCCGAATGTTTCTGCCACGAGCCATCCGTCAAAATAATAATTTCTTGGCCTTCCCCTAATGGGGACCTGTGGGGAAACAATTGAGTTCCTATGTTTACAATAAGAAAGCCTGGGGGAGGCCCTAACTATAGATGGTTGGGGCTAGATCTCTCCACCTCCGTATCAATAAAAGTTCTTAAATCTTTCATAAACGACTCAAAATACCTATGGAGGGTCGCTAGGCAACTTAACTCACCTCTAAACACCCTTCCATTTTGTCCTCGCCAAAGACCCCATAACACACAAATTAAAGTGTGTATCCTAGGACTATGTAGGCCATCCTCGCTATAGAATAGAAGGATATACTTCTGGATCCAAGGTCCCAAAGGAGTAGATACATCAATTTTTAGGTTAATACCCTAAGAACAATTCTTCCAAGCATACTGAGCTATAGCACACATTCTGAAAAGATGTTGCGTACTTTCCTCATCGTCACCACAGTAGTAAAAAATTTCTTGAATTGGGACTCCTCTATGTTGTAGGTTGGCCTTTACAGCTAAGCTATTTAAAACCAGCTTCCACATAAAAAGACTCCATTTAGGAGGTATAATTAAGCTTCCACAACACCCTAAAAAATTCTTGTTCAAAGCCCTGTAAATCCTCCCTTTCCTGAGAAGAAGAAAGAAAATCATAGCCAGTCTTGACAGTGTAAGAACCAGATCGATGATGGAACCAATAGATGAAGTCTGATTCCTCTGTTGCCGGTAGTTCCATAGCTAAAATCTGTTGGGCCGAATCCCAATCAAACCTCTGACAAACAATCGCCGCATTCCACTGCTTTCTAGACCCTGGATAAAGCAGGTCCGCTACCCGAACTTGACCCTCTCCCCTCAAGAGCTGGTTAGATTGTAGGACTGGAACATTGCCATTTACCCAACGCATATTGGCATATTTCACTCTTTCTCCGTTGCCTATTTTCCAAGAAAACCCTGTAATGAATTTGTTAGCAATCTTGTTAAAGCCCCATCGTCCCCATGAAGCATTTCCCCGAACAGTGGGGATAGGATGTCCTTCACATAAGGTGCATGGATGATGATGGTCATACACCCTTGAGACTAACAGTTGGGGATTACAGTGCATACGATGAACCTGTTTGAAAAGCAAAGCATCATTTAAAAGAGTTATCTTTCTTATCCCAAGGCCTTTCATTCCTTTGGGAAGATGCAAGATCTCTTTGCGCACCCAGTGCACACTCTTCACATCATTATTGGCCCACCAAAAACCAGCGATAATACCATCAATCTTGTTGCAAATAGAAGCCGGCAGCTTAAAGCATTTCATTACATGAGAAGAAATGCTAATTAGGATTGAATTGAGGATTATCAATTTTGCCGCTTGGAAAATTCTCAAAGATCCCCAACTGGCAATACGCTTAGAAACATTATCCACTAGCAAGTGGAAACTCGAGCTCTTCGTAGCCATTAGATCCACCGGCGCGCCAAGGTGACGATCCATAATCGGAACATGTTGAACTTTAAGAATACTTTTATATCGGTCCACATTCTCCTAGGACACCAAACTGCTAAATTTGACGCAAGATTTACTCAAGTTCAACTGTTGCCCAGAAATATCTCCAAATCTGTGAAAAACCTCTACCAACGAAGCGCAAGAGTCATCTGTTACCTGAAAAAACACCATGGCATCATCAACAAAAAATAAATGTGAGATCGAGGGCGATCTCCGCGTAACCTTTAATCCTTTTATGAGATTAATATTTTCAGCCATCAACAACATCCTTAAGAGGATATCCATACAAAAGAGGATAGGTAGGGAGAGAGAGGGTCTCCTTGTCTCAAACCACACTCTGGGTGGAACACCTCTGACACCTGTGCATTTACCAGTGTTCTATAAGACACCATCGAAATGCATTGTGAGATTCTATGAACCCACCAAGCTGGAAACCCATAAGCATGTAAGACTTTTAAAATAAAGGTCCAATTCAGTCTATCATAAGCTTTTGACATATCAATTTTGATTGCCGCCTTGTCAGCCCTTCCTTTGTTGGTGTTGATCATATGTAAAAGCTCATGGCTTAGAAGAACATTATCCTCCATATATCGCTCTGGAACAAACGCATGTTGGTATTTAGTAATGAGGCTTGGCAAAAGAGTCTTCATTTTGTTAACCTTGCACTTAGCTATGCATTTGTAGATAGTGTTGCAAAGGCTAATAGGCCGGAATTGTGAAGCCAATTCCGGAGTATCCACTTTTGGAAGCATCACTAAGAGAGAAGCATTAATCTCCTTAAGAAGACAACCTGTAGAGAAAAAAGAGAGCACAACCCTAGAAACCTCAGTCCCCACTTTCTCCAAGTGCTGATGAAAAAATTCCGCAATAATTCCGTCTGGACTTGGAGATTTCAGGTTATGAATAGAGAACATAGCCTTTCGGACTTCTTGATGGGAGAAAGGTCTCATCAAGTCAAGTTTATACAGTTCCGAGATCTTAGGAAGGTCTAACTCCCTCAACACCAAATCCACTCGTTCCCCTATTCCTTCTGAAAAGGAAGCGGGGGGTTTAAAGACATTCAAAAGAGAGTTTCGGATAAGAGATTCAACCTCATGCTGCCCTATCACCCATTCATCCAAATCATTACGTAAGGTAATAATTTCCTTCCGTTTTTGCCAAAGTTAACCCTGTTAAACATCATATTTGAGGAAATATCACCTTGTTTTATCCATCTATCCTTCATTTGCTGCCTCCAATAATGAAATTGGAGTGTAGGTTGAGGCAAAATTGTGGTAATGGCACCTACGTACGCGGCACCATCCAGAACAGTCGAGATATTCTCCCCTTTAGCTTGCAAATCATTAGAAACTTGCCTCCAATTCACACCCCATAATCTCTTATTATCTAAAAACCATTTCCGCATCATCTTCCTTACCCATTTTGGCTGCGCCATAAGACGAAACATATCTGAACCCACACACTCCATACCTAGACCTTCAAGGATGAAGTTTCCTATTTCGGGAAAAGAAAGACACCACCTCTCCATTTGGTACGGTCTATTAGACCTTAAAACCAACGAGTTAGAGTCATACAAAATTGCTGCGTGATTAGAAACCACGATTGGCTCGTGGAAAACCCGTCCATCCGGGAAATCGTTTAACCAATTTGAGAAGCAATAAGCCCTATCGAGCCGTTCAAGGACTAACCTTTCCGGTACTCGTTTGTTTGACCATGTGTATCTTGGACCTGAGAAAGGGACATCGAGCATTCCACTTTGAAATTTCCAATCAAGGAAAAAATCTAAGCCTTTAATCAGAGTAGTGCCTCCTAGCTTATCATCTAGAGATTCTACCTGATTAAAATCTCCGATGATAAAACAATTAGAATATCCATTGGTGAGGAGAAGGATTTCCTCCCAAACTTATTGCCGATCTTCGACTTTAGGAGCCCCATAAAAAAACAAAATATGTCTAATATTACCATTAGCTTCCTCCATCTTACAAATGTAATTAGGAGAGGTACTGATACAAGAAACATCACCTAGAACCCAACCAAACAAAGCTAACTCGCCTTTAGAACCTACCGAATCCACTCCATAACAAAAATTTGGAGTGAATTTTACAACATTATCATTAACACTATTTAAAGACATTTTAGTTTCCGATAAAAACAAAAATGAAGACAACTTAGAAAAAATTAACCACACAAGATAAGGATGAGTAGGGGAGAGTGGGTCATTAAGTCTCCTACAATTCCAAGTGATTAACTTCATATGTCCATCGGGTGCTGTTCTGGTGCAGCCACCTCACCATTGAGAATCACTAAAGAGTCAGCAAGAACCTGTTGAACTTCCATATCAAAATCATCTAATTCATCAAAAAACATCAAAGAGACCTCCTCACTCCTCTGCCTTTTTGGAGGCTCTAAGTTGGAAGAGGAGGAAGCAGCAGCCCGCTTTTTGCCACCCTTTCTTAGCATATCAGGGTTGGGTTTTAAACCCCTAAGACGCGCACTATCAACATCCGTGATAGCTTTGGATTTAAACTCGAAGCCACCTGATTTGTCACGTATCCAAACATTGAACCCACCCTTGTCCGCCCACCGATGAAGAGTTTTGAGCCTCTTTTTCTCACCTCAGCCCATATCATAAGAGCTAGCTCGAATGTTTTCATCACCACAAGAGTTAATTGGGCTGTGTTCAACACTACGGGGCCTCTTCCCTTTCTCCTTAATAGCTGGTTCCTGCAAAAATTCATTGACATTAAAGGAAGACGGTTGGGACACAGGAGAGTTTGTCGGATCAAACTCCGTCATAGGAAAATTTTGGAACTCCCCCCAAAACGAGTTAGGGGAATCTGGCAGGTAAAGCGCTCTCGCTCGATCTGGAAACACCCTCCGTGCTCTCGAAATCGAGAGGGACTGAACCAACCTACTGCCTGCTTCAACAAAATTCAAGTGATTAGATTCAATAAAGTTATCATACAAGGCATCATGGTCCCCATTAGCCGCATCCATAACTGGCTGCTCTAATGGTGCATCAACCACGTTCAAAGAGCCCTAGTTCTGAACATCTTGCAGCAGCCTAGTTGGCTGATTCCCCTCCCTATCCATTGGATTATCCTAATTTCCAATCCCCAACACCTGAAACAAATTCCTCTGAGGAATCTCACCTTCCTCCCTGGTCGCAGCAATTGAAGAAGACTCACCCACTTCAAAGGTTGAGCCACCAAAGAACGGGATCGAAGGCTGGAGGTGATGTCTGATTCAATAGGTGGGATTTGAAAAGATGGATTAATTCTGTGGGCCCTATAAGAATGGACATGTGATCTTATAGGGGAGAAGGAGGGAGACGAAGTAAAATGGGTTGAATAATTGTTTGAGAGGGAGGGGAAGCCCAAGTGTAAGTTTGAAGGTGGATTATTCAGGTTGGGCAAGGTGAACTCAACATAAGGGTTGTGATTGAGCCCAATCCTTCGACCAGGAGACCTGCGCACAGCTTGTTGACCTATTCTGGCTTCTCTTAAATTACCATCTTCCACACCCGAGCTACTCGAACTACCAGATGCAGTAAAATACACTTTATCATTACTCTCACCCGAGTTGAAGTCCGAATCAGAGTTATCATCAAATTGGTTCTGATCCGGCAGCGACACGTCTTCTGGTTCCTCGAGCCTTGTTAAATTCACTGCAGTATTTCGAAACCTAAAATTGTTCGGCAACCTAGTATAATAGGGATAGTCTAAGGGGTCGTGCAACACCCTTAGACCATCTATTTCCACGGCTTCTAGGCGTCTAAAAAGCTGCCTAGACGCTACATCAATATGCAAATTACAATTGCTAGAATTATGCCCAGCACGACCACATCTTTTACAAAAACGAAAAATACCTTCATACTTGAAGTTGACCAATATAACACGGCCGCCTTGAATTGGAACATAACATCCAGGGATTAGTGGTTGAGTCATATCCACCACCATTCTCGCACGGAGATCAGCTCTGATTTGAAGCCTCCCATTCACTATAGGCTCCAGCTCATCCAGGTAGCCCGAGTGATAGAAAATACGTCTAACCCAAGCTTCTGTGAGAAATTGTAGGGGTAACCCGTACACTCTAACCCAAATTCTTGAAGTTGAGAAGCTGATTTGTTGAGGTATTAGAGTGACATCATAGCGCCTTAAATTAATAAGATGGCCATCAAAAGTTGTCGTATATTGTCAAACTAATCCCTCCAAGTCACTTTTCACAAGACATTCAAAGAGGAAGGAATCCCCCGTACGATGGACCCTCACATGGCCCCTAGAGATCCACCGTTGGTTAATGATGTGTTGAACATAGGTAGCAGTAGGGGGGTTTCTGCCAATAAAAATACCAATTGCACAACGGTTGAAGTTAATAACTCCTAGTACATTAAAATTGGGAGGAGGGGTAATAAGGACACCCATTCGGTGAGGCCTGTTTTGGTTTTCATTAGGGTTAGGGTTTTGATTATTCTCCATGACAGGAGGAAAAAGCAGAAGAAGGGGAAGTTGAATAGACAACTGAAAGAAGGACAGAGGAGGAGACTGAGATGATAAGAAAGGGATCAAGCAAATTCCCTTCTTTTACTAAAAGGACTAGAAAACAATAAGCCAAATGCATGGGAAACAACTGGCATAGCATTCATTGAAATGAAGATTACTTCCCCAGGTGAACTTATTATCCTCTTTGTTGGGCTATAGGAAGAAATAAAGTTGCAATAAACCGATTGGGGGGCAGAAAAAGGTAAGGATATGGAAAGGTTTTTGGAAAGATTTTTGGAGAAAGTTGTGATTAAAGGTTAATAAAAGAAGAAGATTACAAATATTGAACCCCAAGAACAAAAAAACCAGTAAACAATAAAAAAGGAATCTTGGGTAGCAGCAGCTATCGAGAAAAGGAAAGTTAGGGTTAGGGTTTGGAGAAGGAAGAAGACTCACTTTCTCGTAAGAGAAGCTCTCAAGCTTTCTAGTGTTCAAGCTTGTTGATGATTGAAAAAAGGATGATATGAACTCTATTTATAGTTAAAAAAGAAGGGTAAAAGAATTAAGATAAAATCGAATTCGAATCGGAATAAAACTCTTGCGATAGACAACAGGTTTTTTATGTTATTTGTTTTTATCATATCTTTTGATCAAGAAATCAGAATAAGATAAATAATATATCATTGGAAAGATGTTGAAGTTTAAGTTTTAACCCTATTAGAATCTAATTAAAATATTTAATAGAATAAAATATATGAATGAAATAGTGGGACAGTGACAGTTTTGGATAGAGTTTGATATTTCATTCATATCTTTTTCGTTATAGCTCGGAATATATCATTGGAAAGATAATTTCAAGAGCTATCCAAATATCTAAGATTTGGATAAAAACGAAAATAATATCTGAATATCTTTGAACGTCTTTCAATTCGAATAGAATTAGGCCTTTCAAAAAGAATTTTTTTATTCAATTTCAAATTAAACTCTTTAATATTATCTTTTTATAACAGAAAATTAAGATCTTTTAGAAACTTATAGAAGCTTCTAATTTATCCTAATTAATTTAGGAATGAGATTAAATCCTTTGGACCCTCCACATGATCATTGGGTCATAGGTAAGGTGGGCTTATGTTCGATTTAGGCTTAGTTTAGTATTTTGACCATAATTTATTCGTTATAACTCGAATTTGGGCTTATAATATATCGTTGGAAAGCTCTTTTTAAGCCCCATCCAAATATTCAATCATTGGACCCAAATTATGGACCAAAATAAACTGTACTAAATATTTTTATAAAAAGGACACTAAATGAATGATTTTAAGTGACACGAAACGACTTTTTTGGATTTAAAGGCACGAAAAGAGGAAAATAAGTTATGGTTTGAGGAAATATGGTAGGAATTGGGTTGGTTTATGAAATGTATTAGGATTGAACATTGATTTAAACACTCCAAACATTAAATACTCAACCCGACCAATAATGGCAATGAAAAGTTGTTCATCATCGGGTTTTGTTTTGGGGAGACATTTTTAGGTGTCTACAAATGGCGACCTATTCGGACGACGACATGGGCTGGGTGGGTTCTTTGGCTGGCGGGGGTTGTAAGTTAATTTATTATTTTTTAATTTTTTTTTTAATTTTTTATTATTTAAATTTAAATTTTTAATTTTTTTTATCAAACCATATGCTGATACGTGTCAAATAACTTATTATAACAAGGTAGATTTCCAGTTGGGACCATTGAAAGCAAATTCAAATCAAAGTTCATCCAAAATTAGGATTATTTTGAACGAATGATGCAAAGTTGAGATTATTCTTTTCAATTTATAAATGAAGGGTTGATAGTTGATCTAAAACAAATATACAATATTATTTTTGTCATTTGAAAACTGGGACACTTTTTAAATAAAATCATTTATCGAGTACTCTCCCTGTTTTATAATACTTGCTTCACTTTTTATTTTCAGTCGTTTTTAAATACTTGTTCATTTTCCTTATCAGGACATCTTTAACAATATTAATTTATTTTTCTCAATTAGTGGGATTTAATAGAATTATGTTTTATTAATTTTATATTCTCTCTTCTCTAATTTACCTTTCAATAACCCCACTACCTCCTTATTTTATTACTTTTTCCATGTACGGAGTTAACGGAGGGAGTATTTCTTATTTTTAATTCACGTTTTAACTTTATACAACATTTTGATATGAAGTAACTTATTTTACTTCGTTTTACGATTAAGAAAAAAAATACATAATATGTTGAGGTCTTAAAAGATATCCATTTTTTCATATACTTGTATATATGTGATTATTGTATACTTGTATTATGTTTTTAATATTTGTTTTTGCTACTTTTTAAGTGAAAAAAGAATTTTTTTTTATTATTTTAGGCATTTTTGGCACCGGTTAATTGGTGTCAATAACAAGTATTCCCACCGGTTTTGAACTGGTGGCTTTTCATACAATTACTGGCATCCCTCAAATACTCAATGGTTCAAAATTGGTGGTATTGATGGGTTTTGAACCGGCGCCAATCTCCTTTTTTCTACTAGTGAAAGCTTTAATTTCAACGGTGTGATTGTTGTTTGATTCTATAGATCAAAAGTTATACTGTATATGCCGAATAGAAGCTCATTTTCTTGCTTCTAGA